TGTACCGGGCCTCAAGTATCACATGCACCCGGTGCCTCACAGTATCACATTACCCTGGGCCCCAGTATCCCGCACCCGGGTGCTCACAGTACACACCCCCTGGTCCTCCAGTATCACATGTACCCGGTGCCTAAATATCACACGCCCCCCTGGTGCCTACAGTATCACATATACCCTGGTGTCCATACACACGCACCCGGTGCTCACAGTATCACACCACCCTGGTGCCTCACAGTATCAACAAACCCTGGTCCTCAAGTATCACACCCCCCTGGTGCCTACAGTACCCAAACGTCCCCTGGGCCTCACAGTTCACACGTACCGGGGGCCCTAAAATATCACAGTCCCCCGGGTGCCTCACATAAAAAACGCACCCTGGTCCCTCACAGAATCACAGTACCCTGGGCCTCACGTATCACACGCACCCGGGTGCTCACAGTTCAACTCCCCTGGTGCCTCACAGTATCCACGTCCCTCCCCCCCCCCCCTCACAGTATCACACGACCGGGTCCCTCACGTATCACACGCACCCTGTGCCCCCAAGTATCCCCGCCCCCGGGTCCCTCACATATCACACCCCCCCGGGGCCTCACAGTATCACAGTACCCTGGGCCTCACAGTACCCACACGCACCCGGTGCCTCAAGTATCACACGTACCGTGGCCTAAATACCCAAAAATACCCTGGTCCTACAGTACTCATGTACCCTGGTGCCTAAATTATCACACGCCCCGGTGCCTCACTATCAATGTACCCTGGTGCCCACATACACAGTACCGTTGCCTCACAGTATCACGCCCCGGGGCCTCACATATCACACGTCCGGGGTGCCTCACATACACACTACCCTGGTGCCTCACGTATCACACGCACCCTGGTGCCTCACGTATCCATGCCCCCTGGGCCTCGCGTACACATTACCCGGGTCCTAAATTTTCACACCCCCCGGTGCCTCACAGTTACACGCACCCTGGTGCCTCACAGTATCACACGTCCCCTGGTCCCTCCAGTATCACATGTACCCTGGTGCCTCACGTATCCACGCACCCGGGTCCCTCACAATCACCTACCCTGGTCCTCACAGTACAAAAAGCACCCGGGGCCCTCACTATCACACCCACCCTGGTCCTCACAGTATCACCGTACCCTGGTGCCTCACATATCACATGTCCCCGGTGCCTCACGTATCACCGTACCGTGGTGCCTCACAGTATACACTCCCGGGGTCCCTAATTATCCATTTTACCCTGGGGGCTCACAGTATCCAAAGAAACCGTGGTGCCTCACAGTACACAAACCGTGGTGCCTCAAGTATCACACGTCCCGTGGTGCCTCACTTTTCACAGTCCCCGGGGTGCCTCACAGTATCACCGACCCTGGTCCCTCACGTAAACACGTACCCGGTGCCTCACAGTACCATGTACCCTGGTGCCTCACTAAACAGTCCCGGTCCCTCACAATCACACGTACCCTGGTGCCTCACAGTATCACCGCACCCTGGTGCCTCACGTATCCACCACCCGGGTGCCTACAGTAACGTCCCCTGGTCCCCCTCACAGTACACACCACCCTTGCCCACAAACACACGTACCCGGGTGCCTCACGTATCACATGTACCCTGGTGCCTCACAGATCACACGCACCCTGGGCCTCACATATCACAGCACCCGGGTGCCTACAGTAAACATGACCCGGGTCCCTCACAGTATCAACGCACCCTGGCCTCACAGTATCACCGCCCCCTGGCCTCACGTACCAGACCCTGGTGCCTCACATACACATGTACCCTGGTGCCTCACTTTCACACGCACCCGGTGCCTACAGATCACCCACCCGGGTCCCTACAGTACAATGTCCCCGGGGCCCTCACGTATCAACCACCCGGCCTCACAGTATCACATGTCCCCGGGGTCCCACATTTCAAACGCACCCGGGTGCCTCACAAAAACACACGTACCCGGTGCCTCACAGTATCACACGCACCCTGGTGCCCACATATCACATGTACCCGGTGCCCACGTATCACAGTACCCGGGTGCCTCACAGTATCACACCCCGGGTGCCCCAGTAACACGCACCCTGGTGCCTCACAGTATCCACACGCCCCCTGGTCCCTCACAGATCACACCCCCCCTGGGCCTCACAGATCACACGTCCCGGTGCCTAAGTATACGTCCCCTGGTCCCTAAAGTATCACATGTACCCGGGTGCCTCACAGTACACACCACCCGGTGCCTCACATACACACCACCCGGTGCCTCACAGCATCCAGTCCCCCGGGCCCCTCACAGTTTCAATGTACCCGGGCCTCACAGAAATCACCGCACCCGGGTCCTCACAAAATCACACGCACCCGGTCCTCAAGTATCACATTCCCCTGGTGCCTCACAGTACACACCACCCTGGTGCCCCAGTATACAGTCCCCGGTCCCTCACATCACAGCACCCTGGTGCCTCACAGTATCACCGTACCCTGGTGCCTCACAGATCACACCCCCCCCGGGCCTCACAGACACATGACCCTTTTTCCCACAGTATCACTTTTACCCTGGTCCCTCACAGATCAATGTCCCCGGGGCCTCACAGTATCACACGCACCCGGGGTGCCTCACAACACACGCCCTGGTGCCCACAGTTCACACCCAACCCGGTGCCTACGTACACATCCCCGGGCCCTAACATATCACAACGCACCGGGTGCCTCACAGTATACACCCCCCGGGGTTGGCCTCAGATCCATGACCCTGGTGCCTAAACGTAACATGTACCCGGGTCCCTACAGTATCACACGCACCCTGGTGCCTCGCAAAAACAAACGTCCCGGGGCCCTCACTTATCCTGAAACCCTGGGCCCACAGTACAATTCCCCGGGTGCCTCACAGAAACCACCCCCCTGGGCCTCCGTATCACACGCACCCGGTGCCTCGCAAAATAACACACCGGTGCCTCACATATCACATGCCCCTGGTCCCACGTATCACACCACCCTGGTGCCTCACAGTATCACCCCACCCGGTGCCTGCAGAATCAAGTCCCCTGGGCCTACAGAAAATCACATGTCCCCTGGTGCCTCCAGTATCAACGCCCCCTGGTGCCTCACAGAAATCACACCCCCTGGTGCCCACATTTCACACGCCCCGGTGCCTCACTATCACACGCCCCGGGTCCTCACAGTATCACACGTCCCCTGGTCCCACAGTACCAGTCCCCGGTGCCTCCAGTTCACACGCCCCCTGGTGCCTACAGATCACACGCACCCGGGGCCTCACAGTATCACACCCCCCTGGTGCCTCACAGTATCACACGCCCCTGGTGCCTCACGTATCCATGTCCCCGGGTGCCTCACATATACCGCCCCCGGTGCCTCCAGTATCACACGTACCCTGTCCCTCACATATCACACGTACCGGTCCCTCCGTATCACATGCACCCGGTCCCCACAGTATCACACGCCCCCGGTGCCCACAGTATCACACGTACCCGGTCCTCACAGTATACACCACCCGGCCCCTTTCCGTATCACACCACCCTGGTCCCACAGTATCACAGTCCCCTTGCCTCACAGTATCACACGTACCCTGGTCCCCTCAATATCTCACGACCCGGGTGCCTACATTCACACCACCCGGTGCCTCACGAAACCACGCACCCTGGTCCCTCACGTATCACCCCACCCGGTGCCTAAGTATCACACGTACCCGGTGCCTCACAGTATCACACTACCCTGGTGCCTCAACAGAACTGCCCCGGTGCCTCACATATCACACGCACCCGGGGTGCCTCACAGTATCACCTACCCGGGTCCCCTCACAGTATCAACGCCCCTGTGCCTCACAGTATCCACGCACCCTGGTGCCTCACAATCACACGCCCCCCGGGTGCCTCACAGTACACCGTACCGGGTCCCACGAAAACACACTACCCGGGGTGCCTCACAGTTCACACCAACCCTGGTGCCCACAGTTCACACCACCCTGGGCCTCACGATCACACCACCCTGGTGCCTCACAGTATCACACCCCCCTGGGCCTCACAGTATCCCCCACCCGGGGTTGCCCACATTTATCACCCCCAGGGTGCCTCACAGTATCACACTACCGGGTCCTAAAGAAACCCTACCCTGGTGCCTCACGTATCACACCACCCTGGTGCCTCACAGTTCACACCCCCTGGTGCCTCACAGTATCACACCCCCCTGTGCCTCCAGTACAACGCACCTGGTGCCTCACAGTATACCGCCCCCTGGGCCTCACAGTATCACACCCCCGGGGGCCCTCACTATCACACGCACCCGGGTCCTCCAAATCACACGTTGTATTCGGGGCACCTCTGCAAAACGTGATTATGTGTGGGGTGAAAGTTTTGAATGATGAAAGGTTTTTTTTCTTTTTGGGGGATTTTCTTTCTCTTTCGGTCCCCCTGCCTTGGGAGACCCCGATTTTTGAAAAAATTTTAAATTATTTATTTTTTCATATAAAATGGTGTTTTTAAACTACAGTAACAGTTTTTAAATTAACTTTATTTTCCTATTTTGAGTGTAAACACTGAAAAAAATTTCATTTAAAAATTTTATAAAAAAATTAATTTTCTTTCAGCTAATATGAACACTGAAAAAAAGTATTTCAAAAAAAAATTCTAATAGTCCTATAAAACTTTAAATTACAAATAGTATATAAATGCCATTAAACTTGTAACGGTAACTTGAAGCTTTATTAGAATCTGTTTTAATAAAATATTTTCCTTCAAGAAATTAATAATAAAAACCATACCCCCGGCCGGGATTGAACCCGCGGTCAGAGAGTCTCAAAACTCCAGCCCGTCGCGTTAGCCACTAGACCAGCTAGCCACAATAAGATTCATCCAACTAGGTATATTTCTACACCATAGGAAGGTTAGCACAGGCACCACTGTGGTCACAGAGGTGTGGTCACAGAGGTGCCTGTGCTAACCTTCCTGTGGTGTAGAAATATACCTAGTTGGATGAATCTTATTGTGGCTAGCTGGTCTAGTGGCTAACGCGACGGTCTGGAGTTTTGAGACTCTATGACCGCGGGTTTAATCCCGGCCGGGGGTATGGTTTATTTGCAATCGTGTCATTACGATTTCTTAAGTCAGTAATAATAAAAACACTTGCATTATTGAAAAAAATCTGCCAAAAATGTATTTGCCTTAATTTAGAATTAAAGTATGAGTTTTCTGCTTCACTCAGAATAATAATAATGAAAACCATTCAGAAAATTATTCAATAATATAAAAATCCATTTTAAAAAGTAACACCACTTTAAAGAACAAAGCATAGTATATATAAATTAAAAAGCAACACAACATAATAAAAATTAACAAAGATATTTATGGAAATAAAGAATACATTTTTTTCATAAACTTCAAGAATTAACATTACTTTTTTTTTTTTGTGCATCGACACCATGCCTAACCCTTCTAGGGTAGGGTAGGTGCCTGAGCCCGAGCCTTTAGCTCATAAGATTGTCATTCCCATTAGCCCCCTTGGGGCGGGGATAGCAGACCAGAGAGGCCTAGCTTGTGGCTAGGCCTGGGGACAGTTGGTCCCAAAGATGAGGAGGTACTTGTGCCTCCTCCCATGGGAGACTTAGGTCTCAGACACTCCCTAAAGAGGAAGCCAAGGCCGGGCCACCACTTGGAAAAGGCTCGGGCTGGGAGAATACCGGCTAATCTTTAACTAACTAACTTTTTTTTGTAATAGGTTTTCTTCATTAAAATTTTAATAAATTTAATTTAAAAATTTCACACTAATATATGCAACAATTATTATACTGTCATACAAATTTGCTTACTACTGGCTTATAAAATTTTCGCCAAAGTTATTACATTATGATAAACTCAGGAGCGAACTTGCAAATCATCACTCAAATACTACGGAAATTCCACTCACTGTCCAGTAAATTCAAGTTACTTATGTGTGAAATTCAGTACATACTTGGTATATTCATAGATTATTTTGGTATTAGATAGTTAATTGTAGCAAATATGCACCCGCGTAGGGTGTGTATAAACAAATTGGAAAAAGGGCCAAAAATTTTCACCTACACAAATTTGATATGAGCCATTACATGACCCATGCCATTACATGACCCATGCCATTACATGACCCATGCAGTTAATGTGGAGAAAACTTGACCGCATACACTACACTGAATACTGTTATTCTTAACAAAATGTCCTATACAAAAATGCTCCACATCATGATTGCCATTATTAACAAATTGCTCCATTTGGTGACTGTCATTACTCACAAAGTGTGCCATGCGATGACCGTCATTATTCACATACTTCATGTGATGACCGTCATTATTCACATACTCCATGTGATGACCGTCATTATTCACATACTCCATGTGATGACCGTCATTATTCACATACTCCATGCAGTGGCCAACATTATTCACATAATCCATGCGGTGGCCAACATTATTCATTCTCCATGCGGTGGCCAACATTATTCACATAATCCATGCAGTGGCCAACATTATTCACATAATCCATGCGGTGGCCAACATTATTCACATAATCCATGCGGTGACCATCATTATTCACATTATCCATGTGGTGGCCAACATTATTCACATAATCCATGTGGTGGCCAACATTATTCACATAATCCATGCAGTGGCCAACATTATTCACATAATCCATGCGGTGACCATCATTATTCACATTCTCCATGCGGTGGCCAACATTATTCACATAATCCATGCGGTGGCCAACATTATTCACATAATCCATGCGGTGGCCAACATTATTCACATAATCCATGCAGTGGCCAACATTATTAACATAATCCATGCAGTGACCATCATTATTCACATAATCCATGCGGTGGCCAACATTATTCACATAATCCATGCGGTGGCCAACATTATTCACATAATCCATGCAGTGGCCAACATTATTCACATAATCCATGCGGTGGCCAACATTATTCACATAATCCATGCGGTGGCCAACATTATTCACATAATCCATGTAGTGACCATCATTATTCACGTATTCCGTGTGGTAACCGTCATTATTCACGTAATATTCTATGCGGTGACAGTCATTATTCACAAAATGTTCAATATAGTGACTGTCATTATTCACAGAATGATCAATGCGGTGACAGTCATTATTCACAGAATGTTCAATGCGTTGACTGTCATTATTCACAGAATGTTCAATGTGGTAACAGTCATTATTCACAGAATGTTCAATGCGGTGACAGTCATTATTCACAGAATGTTCAATGCGGTGACAGTCATTATTCACAAAATGTTCAATATAGTGACTGTCATTATTTGTATATGCCACGCGGTGATTGTCACCATTCACAATACGTTCAATATCATGACTGTCACCATTCATAGTATATTCCACGTCGTGACTGTCACCATTCACAACATGTTCCACGTCGTGACTGTCACCATTCACAACATGTTCCACGTCGTGACTGTCACCATTCACAACATGTTCCACGTCGTGACTGTCACCATTCACAACATGTTCCACGTCGTGACTGTCACCATTCACAACATGTTCCACGTCGTGACTGTCACCATCCACAACATGTTCCATGTCGTGACTGTCACCATTCACAATAAGTTCCATGGGGTGACTGTCATTATTCACAAAATGTTCCGTACAGTTATATACATCCCCATTAGGAAATGTATCTACACAATTCTCTCGAGATGATGCAAGTTCGGTAGTGACTTCAGTGCTAGGTAATTCTTTTCCGTCTCTCATTTGAAATTGCTTGTCACAAATATTGGAATCTATACATTTTTGGTGATTCATAATGTCATCTTTTGAAACAAAAACTGCCCCACACACTGCACATTTATATACTTTATTCCTAGATTTCTCAATTATGTCCCCGTGTGCCATTTTGCAATGCAGAGTTAGTTTGTTTGAGTTTGCAAAACTTTCTGTGCAGAGCGTACATTCAGACTTCACTTGTGTTGGTATGTTCTTGTTGTTTTGTAGTTCACTGTGGCACTTTGGTCTCTTTCTGTGTTTTCTTATTTTGTATGTATTTCTAACTGAATGTACTCGTTCATGACTCTTCAGATTAAATGAACGTAGAAAACATTTGCCACACTCGCCGCATTTGAATGTTTTTTTACTTGCATGCACTTTCTTATGCTTCAAAAGATCACAGTATTCAATGAATGATTTATCACACACCAAACATACATAAGGCTTTTCACTTGTATGAACTCTAGAGTGAATCTTCAAATCTCTAAGTTTTGTAAAACTCTTTTCACAAACATGACACTTAAATGTTTTATTTTCATGAGTTTTTAAATGGTTAATGAAACATTTTGTGTACACGTATGTCTTCTTACAGGTATCACATTGCTTATATCCCTTATTATATTGCCTATGATCCCCATCATCTACCATTACTAATTGTCCTTCAATTATTGGTGAATCTGTCATAACTTGACTGATTTTAGATGGATCTGGTCTGTTACTAGAATGCTGCATTTTATGACTCTCAAGAGATGAGTTGGTACTGAATCTTCTCTCACAAACATTGCACTTAAATAACTTCTCGTCAAAGTCGATCCGACCATATACTTTCAAATTTGCACCATTTATTATTTCATTGTTTGTGTATGAATCTTCATCCATGTGTTGCTTTACATGAGCCTTGAGTTGGCAAAAATATGCACACTTAACACCGCAAATGCCACACACACATGGCACTTTACATAACTGAAACTTTTTATGATTCCAAAGACTCTGGTAATACACAAAGCATTTCTGGCAATAATTACATTTGTAACGTTTTTCCCCTGTGTGTTTTCTTGAGTGATTCCAAAGACACTGGTAAAATGTATAAGTTTTCTCGCAATCCTTGCATTTATAAGGTCTTTCTCCAGTATGCGTTCTTAAGTGATTCTTAAGGGAAAATTTGTTTGTTAATCTCTGTTTGCAAACCTGGCATTCGTAATAAAGTTTACCATCAACTAATACTTGCACCTCTTCAGTAATTAAATTAGCAATGCTTTCTTTGTAAGATTCCCTTGTTTTTTCGTCTTTATGAAAGACCTGACAATCATTTTTCTGGTTATCTTCACTAATACCTTTATTACTAAACATACATAAACTGGGATTCATCTTCTCATACTGCTGGGTATCAATGAAATCTGGCAATTGTGCAAATTCATCCCTAAATAATTGACCTTCATCTGTCATATGGACATGTGTGTGCCTCTTTAGCTTGCACAATCGTGAAAATGTTTTGCCACACAGTTCACAAGTGTGAACATTATCAGCCATATTTCTAAGGCTCTTCCACAAAACATTAAAAAAAATAGCTTTACATCTCCAGTTTGTCTCAGTTCGTTGAGTTTCTCAAATCCCGAAACTTCTAAGAAAATACTTCCAATACCAGCAAGTGAACATTCAGAATGTGTACTACTGGAATTAATATTTAGAATCTAAAAGTATCATTAGAAAATTATCAAAAGGTTTCACCAATCCATTTTTTACTGATACACATGCAATTTAAATCCATGCAAATAAATGAAGAACAGCGAATCCTAATTCAATTTAGTTGCATACCTATTCTAAGTCATTCGGAAACACTGTTGCATGCTTTTTCCAAGTCATTCGGAAATTACTGATGAACTGTAACTTGTGTCAGGCGAGGATGGAAGTTTGTGTTCCATATAGAAGGGACGTTTTGTGCGAGAGTGAAGAAAAGCCTATGGCTGCAGACTGCCTGATGAAGTTTGTGTTCCATATAGAAGGGACGTTTTGTGTGAGAGTGAAGAAAAGCTTATGGCTGCAGACTAAGCACCCTACGCCCTTTTCCTTGGCATAGTAACAAACCTGTAAATAAAAACACATTTTGTAAAATATTGTTTAGTCACAAATCTTCATTAACACAATATAATTATATTTAACCAAAGATTACAAATGCTGTTGTTTTTGTCTTTTTTTTTATTCTTTATTAGTATCTTGATCAATTCTGTACACCTACTCGCCACGGGTTTGAATCCCACCCGTTCCGTGGTTTGTAATTGTGTTATTACGATTTCGTGAGTTAGGACCCAGTGGTCTAGTTGGTGTTGATGTGGTCTTGCATAAATTAAATATTAGGTTCTGTCCCAGTACTCCTTACACAATATATTACTTTCACTGTATTGTAAAATTCTCATTTTACTCTATGAACCCTATTACAGATATGAATGCTACTGGGAGCATGCTTACACCCAGCTCTATTATGTAAAAACTGAATAGTAAGTGACTACTGTTAACCTAAAGAAAAATGGAATGTATATAATACCATGAATCACACTTTGCAAGAATTGTAACATTTGACTTTCACCTCCATTAGCCTTACAAACCTTGTACATAGATCAACCTACAGCCTTAACTCTCCTAAAGATGCAAGTGCTGCTAACGCTGAAGTAGCCATCTGCCGTAAACTCTAAACCATTAGTCTTTTTTTTAAATTTATCTTTCCCCTCCTAGTATAAGGACTGTCATTCACTTATCACAAAAGATGCACTTCAATAGGCTAACTAAGTGTAAACAATAATTTTGCTGGTTATTTTCTTGGAAAAATCTCGAATAAGATTTTTGTGAATAAAATTTTTTACTGAAAGTATAATCATTCGAACAAAGCTATCCATTTGCAACGTTTAAGAATATCCAGCCTCCTCTAACATTACAGATTAACTCGGTGGCACTCGATGTATGCACAAGGCTTATTCCTCTAAGAAAAAGGAGGAGTAGTTGTAAAACAGAAAGAGACAGGCGCTCCCTTTACAGGAGACGGAAAAGAATAACAGAGCGGCTAAAAGAGGTCAATATATCTGAAATGCGTAGGGAGACACTGGTCAGAGAAATAGCAAGCATCGAACTTAAGCTAAAAGAATCCTTTAGGAGTCAGGAATCGCGGGAAGAACTAAAAGCCATAAATGAAATCGAAAGAAACCCAAAGTATTTCTTCTCCTATAAAAGAATCCTTTAGGAGTCAGGAATCGCGGAAGAACTAAAAGCCATAAATGAAATCGAAAAACCAAAGTATTTCTTCTCCTATGCCAAATCAAAATCGAGAACAACGTCCAGTATTGGGCCCCTACTTAAACAAGATGGGTCCTACACAGATGACAGCAAGGAAATGAGTGAGCTCCCTCAAGTCCCAATATGACTCAGTTTTTAGCAAGCCACTAACCAGACTGAGAGTCGAAGATCAAAATGAATTTTTTTATGAGAGAGCCACAAAATTTGATTAACACAAGCCTATCCGATGTTATCCTGACGCCAAATGACTTCGAACAGGCGATAAATGACATGCCCATGCACTCTGCCCCAGGGCCAGACTCATGGAACTCTATGTTCATCAAGAACTGCAAGAAGCCCCTATCACGAGCCTTTTCCATCCTATGGAGAGGGAGCATGGACACGGGGGTCGTTCCACAGTTACTAAAAACAACAGACATACCCCCACTCCACAAAGGGGGCAGTAAAGCAACAGCAAAGAACTACAGCCGATAGCACTAACATCCCATATCATAAAAAATCTTGAAAGGGTCCTAAGAAGCAAGATCACCACCCATCTAGAAATCCATCAGTTACACAACCCAGGGCAACATGGGTTAGAACAGGTCGCTCCTGTCTGTCTCAACTATTGGATCACTACGACAAGGTCCTAAATGCACTAGAAGACAAAAAGAATGCAGATGTAATATATACAGACTTTGAAAAAGCCTTCGACAAGTGTGACCATGGCGTAATAGCGCACAAAATGCGTGCTAAAGGAATAACAGGAAAAGTCGGTCGATGGATCTATAATTTCCTCACTAACAGAACACAGAGAGTAGTCGTCAACAGAGTAAAGTCCGAGGCAGCTACGGTGAAAAGCTCTGTTCCACAAGGCACAGTACTCGCTCCCATCTTGTTCCTCATCCTCATATCCGACATAGACAAGGATGTCAGCCACAGCACCGTGTCTTCCTTTGCAGATGACACCCGAATCTGCATGAGTGTCTTCCATTGCAGACACTGCAAGGCTCCAGGCGGACATCAACCAAATCTTTCAGTGGGCTGCAGAAAACAATATGAAGTTCAACGATGAGAAATTTCAATTACTCAGATATGGTAAACATGAGGAAATTAAATCTTCATCAGAGTACAAAACAAATTCTGGCCACAAAATAGAGCGAAACACCAACGTCAAAGACCTGGGAGTGATCATGTCGGAGGATCTCACCTTCAAGGACCATAACATTGTATCAATCGCATCTGCTAGAAAAATGACAGGATGGATATAGTCCCTGGACCAATTATGTACCTCTGTAATCTTTTGACTACCGCCCACAGGATGGGTATGGGGTGCATAATAAACATATTAAACTAACTCTAATCATTATCATGCCAGAAAGCTACAACTTTACCATGCTGGTGGCCTATAAACTGAAGCTCTCGCTTCACACGGTGTGTCCAGGTTAGATTCCTAGTGAGGGCTGAAACATTGGGTATGTTTCCTTACACCGGTTGTCTATGTTCACCACCAGTATAAAATGGGTGCCTGGGTGTTAGTCGACTGGTGTGGGTCGCATCCCGGGACAAAATTGGCCTATTTGCCAGAAATGCTCTGCATAACAAGCGGCTTTCTATACAGTACTATGTCACTGATGTCAGCTAAGCCTGTATACCTTGTACATGTACATATAACAATAATATTACATTGTTATAAATGTTTGGTGTTCATATTATACATCAGACAGCAATCATTCCTTTGTGTTGCACTTTCTGGCTTTGACATAAAAGCTGTAAGAGGAGGCGAGCACCGATGGATGAGTGTTGATGATTGGTAAAGTGTACATCATCTGGCCAGGCTAACAGAGGATGACATTAGAACTGTCCAAAAACTGAGATATAAACTTAACTAAACCAGATGAACCATACATCCAGCCTGCAGACACTGCCATAGGATCAAAAACTAGCAAGCAAAATCCGAAAGACTATCTTACTTGAAATTACCCAAATACTCTATATTTATCTCCTACCAATCCTACTGAAGTCTCACTCATCATAGTCACTTAAAAAAACAAGACAGGAAACTTGCTACCACTCGTGTACAAAAAAAAAAAAAAAAAAAAAAACTCATGTGCTGTCGCCCACTATTGCAACTATTTACCAAATCAGTTGAATCTTCAACTTTCCCATCCATACTCAAGACAGCAAGGGTTACCCTGATCCTCAAAGGAGGTGATCCAACTTAAGTGAATAATTATAGGCCTATATCAAACGTGGCCATAATATCTAAAATCCTCGAAAAAAATAATATATAAGCGAGTTTACTCTTAGCTAATATCTCACAACATACTTAACCCTTGCCAATTTGGGTTTCGACCTGCGGAAACCATTCGATACAGTGGACCACAATATCTTGCACCTTAAACTAGAACATTACAGTCCGAGGACATACCCTTGAATACCTAAAATCTTATCTTAGCAACAGACACCAGTATGTCTCTACAAACGGTGTAATCTCGTCTACTGAACCTGTAGCCGTAGGAAAGCCACAAGGCGGTGTCCTTGGCTCTCTACTCATTCTCATTTACATCATCTCCCTAAACCAGTTCTATTAGCAATGACACTACTTATGGCTTCTCCCACTCAAACCCGACTATGCTTAGTGACACTATTAACGAGGATCTACTAAAAATAAATACGTGGATGACGAACAACAAACTCCCTCTCAATATAGACAAAACCCACTACATGCTGTTTGGAAACAGCTTTAAATATCCAACTTAACATATTGATCAATCATTCCCCCATTACAAGACACACCGAGGGCAATTTTTTGGGTCTTTATCGTGACTGCAATCTTAAATTTCATACCCATATCCAGCATATAGCCAAGAAAGTCTCCAAAACAGTAGGCATCCTTTCCAAGATACGATACTGTATACCCCAAATGACACTATGCCACTCCCTTATCTACCCTTACCTCGCCTAAGTACTTGTGCTTTGGGATGTACTATGACTAATCACCTTAAACTATTACTAACCCAACAAAAAACTGCTGTGAGGATTATCACCCATTCCTGCGCCTGACAACACACCCCTCCGCTCTTCAAGAGCTTGGACTTCCTTAATATACAAAATATGCACTCATATTACTGTGCCTAGAACATTAAACTCCAACATAAACCCTCCTCTCAAACTGTTCCTTGATAGCTACAGCAGAACACAGGCACAAAACTATCTTCGACATCCCCAGTACCCTCCTCACCTTTCGCAAAAATGCAATTCAGATAAAGGGCCCCAAGATCTGGAATTCATTTCCCGAACTAGCAAAAGCTCCCCTGTCTGCAAATCAATATAGTTATAATTAAAAATCGCCCCTCTCCCTATACCAAACATAACCAACTCATCCATCTACTTCAGTTTTTTCACCCTTATAATCATCCCATAGCCTGAAATCATTGAGCCAGTTTGAAATTACTTAATAAATTCCAATTATTTCAAGATCACTAAATTCTGCTAATTGTAATATTTTTACTCTCTTTTTATATTAATGCATAATTAAAATTTTACCACTCAGTAACCTATGTCTAGTCTTAAATAGTCTAAGAATTATTATAAATTTTATTAATTGTAATATTTTGCTACCTCTCTTTTCGTAATATTAAAACTGACCTCTCAATAGCCTCTGTCTAATCTTAAGTAGTCTGTAAGCATTAGGATTAGTCTGCCCCCATTTGCACAAGCATGCTAGTGGCTTTCTTTCTGCTTAACAATATTTTATGACATGCAAACTACTTTGTATACTACACAAAGAAATTATTCATTGTTTATTGCTTTATACA